ACAGACATGCAGTCCAGCAAGCACACACACACATAGACTTAGCAGGCGGGGAACTCAGTAGGGCATTCAGTCTATGAGCAAAACTCAGAAATCAGCTGTGTGTTTCAATCCGTGTTTGGACGGGTTATCACAATAATATTAATAGTATTAAAAGTATAAATGATGATTAATAATAAGTGTTAAAATAGTAATAAAAGTAGGATAGTGACGAATTGAGGGTGCACGCACTGCACGGTGAGGGGGACAGTTTTGGGGCTTATTATTGGGAGTGGATAGCAAGAGGTGCTGGTATGTGGTAGGTTGGAGTGGAGATGGGTGGAAATTAAGATTTTGGTGGTAGGAATGGTGGGGGGTTGACGAGAGCAGAGCACAAGGGCACACAGGTAGGAGGAGGGGTGGAGAGACTGTGTTACATGCTGAGCCTGCACACGGGGCCCATTTCGGGGGCCCGACGGTTGCTGCGGGCCCCCAGGCCGCACACCATTCAGACATGCGCCTTGGAGGCCCACAGCCAGCCTTAGGACCGCAGGATTTGATTTGAGGCAGCATTCATTTATTTACTTTTTTATTTATTTATTTATTTGCTACCCTATTTTTATCTCTTCAGGCGTCGTTTCGGACTCGCAGTTTGTCCGAACAGACTTACAGTCTGTTCGGACAAAGGCCACGTTTTGGGCCTTCTTCGTTCGCGGTCAGGCCCTTTCGGGCCAGGTTCGTTTTCGTCCAGTAGCAGACACTCCCTGCTGCATCAGCAGGGAGGGCCTGGACGTCCGGTAGGGACCCAGGCAGGCCGTTTCAGGCCAGGACCAGAGGCACACCAGCAAGGCCCAGCGCTATATATAGCTGGGCCAGGCCAGGGCAGACACACAGTTCAAGAAGCTCACTTCTTGGGCGACATGCTGCTGGAGCAGCGTGATGCAGTGCTGCGCTAGAGGTAGAGGAGTACGCAGGGAGAGAGAGAGGCGGTGGCCATACCTGCATTGGCGAAGTACCTACCTGGGCGCCATATCTGGACTTCTCGCCAGCTAGCTGCAGCACAGAGAGAGACACGCCGGCGAGTTAGTACGTGGCGGCAGTTACCTGCAGGTGAGACAGAGAGGAGGACGACATCTTCTTCTTCCTCCAGTTCTCGCCCTCCATCTCTTATTCTTCTTCTTCATCTCCTTCCTCTTCTTCTTCTTCTTCATCTTTCAGAGGGAGAGAGGTTACAGGCAGAAGTTACATTGGGCCATGAGGCCCAGGATCTGATTCGACATTTTTTGTGGCAGATATTGATTGGACATTCGGCATGGAGACTATTTTTGGGCTTCGCTATCGCAATCTTGGTCTTCTTCCTCATCTCTTTCTTCGTCTCGCCTCTTCCCCCATCTCCTCATCCGTGGTATCTCCCCATGTGTGTGCTCAAGGAGGGACCTTTCTTCTATGTACGCGGTCCCTCCCCTTTCTCTCACACGTGTAGTGTATGATGAGGTGTCGCATCAGTATCTGACAGGTCAGGTCATATCTTTGAGTCTTCCGCTGCACTACATTGTGCTATTTTCGTATGATCTGGACGTACATTGCTTTTTGATGCTTTGCTGATGCTGCATCGTCCATTCAAGTCCTTTCCATCACTTTGCAGATCCTTGGCTCCATATACATCGCTCTATCAAGCATGTATCAGAGATAATCAGACTGAGCGATGCGTGAAGGCTAGGGGGAATGAGGGGAAATGGGGGGGGAGGGAATGTCTGGAGGGTTCGATTGGGCTGGGGATCAGATTGGGCATTCGGGTGGACGAGGGGTTCGGTGAGAATTCAGGGAGGTGCTGGGGGTTGACGGAAAGAGGCGTGGTGCAGTGAGGAACTAGGGAGTCACTGGACGTGGGGTAAGAGCTTGGGAGTAGGGTATATGGGTAGATCAGGTAGAAAGGTGAGGGTGTGGATGGTGCGTTGATGTTTTAACTTGACCCACTTAGCGCCAGACTTCCGTGGCAATCGAATCTCTACAGCTTATGTTAACTCAATGACTGGTGTTTCAATGTACTTGAAAGCTCGCTCTTTTTATCGTAGTCGCTATGTCCGCTAATAGTCTCTTGTGCTCGCCAGTTATAGGGTGGAGAGTGGTCTGAAATTCTTACCTTTATTTCTGGAGGGGAGTTGTTCACACCTTGTATGTCGATATGATGTCGAGCTTGGTTGTATGTTGCTCCTGTCTTTCTCTCTTGCGTGGAACTTTCCTTGTTGTCGTTATCTCCACCTCCCTCTTCTCTTTTGGCAAGTACATTCGACTCTCTTCTCCTATCTTGCGCCTTACTCTTCTCTTTTCTTCAACATAGTATTCTTCTTTCTCCTTCCTCTTCTTCCGAATACGATCCTTTCCCTACATATTCTCCTTGTCGGGATCTGGGGCGCCATGCCCATAGGTGTGGCGTCATGTGATGACCGTTTCTCGCCACTTAACCCTTAGACTTTCTCACCCGAAGTGAGTTCTCTTCGTCGCTTCCTGTAGCTCAATTATGCTATCTGTCTCTTTCCAACTTTGGGAGTTCTTCTGTCCTGTTCGACTTCTAATGAATCTGGACCTTTAATCACGTAATGTTAGCTTCTCTTTCTCCTCCTCCCCCTTTCCTTTACTGGACTCTTCCCCTCTCTTCCTCCCTTCCTCTCATTCGTCACTCCTACACTTGCCAAACTCTTGTAAGCCACGC